TACACCGTGCCTGGCTAATTTTTGTATTTTTAGTAGAGATGGGGTTTCACCATGTTGGCCAGTCTGGTCTTGAACTCCTGACCTCAAGTGATGAACCCGCCTCGGCCTCCCAAACTGCTGGGATTACAGGCGTGAGCCACCGCACCCGTAATGGATCTATTTGTCTTTAAAATTGATTTTTAGAGTAATTTTTTAGGAATAATTTTTAGTTTCTTAGAAGAGATACTTTGAGTGTTCTTAACAAGTACCCATTTAAGAAATAATACTGTAGTCATTACTGAATAAGGCTTTAATTTTATATTATAAATATAGTTAGTAATATCAGTAAAGATGGTAAACTATCCATCTCAGTTGGTCTCACAGACCAACTTTCAGTGAGATATTTACCTCAGAATTGTCTTTTGATTTTGATTCTCATATTATAGCCATAAATATAAATCGTAGGAGATGTAAGTAATTACATGAAAGAGTTCTGAGGTCAAATAATTTGCCAGATGCTGGATTATTTGGTGTTAGATTGGCTTCTTTACTGCAGAACTTCTCAGAAACTTTAACATACTAATGTACATTATAAATGTTTTAGAATGTAACGTAGTGTTTGCGAAACTTATTTAAACATGGAACATTCATTTCTCAGACTGTTGTTCAATATAAATACACTTTGGGAAATGCTGGTATTTGATCCAGTTAGTATTTGTGTGAATTGTTGTAAAGAAAGTAGTGTCTAACCTTTATGAGTGCTATACAGTTTATGAAAGGATATTAGCTTTAATACCTGGACACTTGGAACAATCAATTTCAAATGCATTACAGGTCTTTTTAAGAGATTAAGAGCTAGATTTTTAAGATAGCTTTTTAAGATTTCAGGTATATGTAAATCTCTTAAAGATTTTAGATATAGCTTCTCTACTGCTTCTTCTACAGCTTTTTTCTAAATGAAATTTATGGACATGCTTAGTGTTGGAACATACCCATCATAAAATCTGGTGATTCCCCAAACTCTGCATGCCAGCCTGGTTTTCTCTGAGCTCCAAACTAGTGTTTTTAAGTTCCTGACCCAAGAGTTCTATATCTAAACCCTGTAGGCATCTGAACTCCTTCAAAACTGACCTCATCTTCCCCTTCCACTTCCCCAGTCTTAGACTTTACTTTCTGTATCCCGTCCTTGCTAGTGTCACTGTCTTCTTTTCAGTTACCCAAACTAGAAACTCAGGAGACTCAAATTCCTTCTTTGTCTTATACATCAGGATTTCTCAACCTTGGCACAATTGAAAATTATTTGTTGCGGAAAGTTGTCTTGTGCATTGTAGATGTTTAGCAGCATCCCTGGATGCTACCCACTAGATGCCGACAGCAGTTTCCCTCATTGTTACAGCCAAAAATGTGTCCAGACATTGTGAAATGTCCCGAGGAACAAATCACCCCAGTTTGAGAACCACTGCCCTATATCCAATCTATTACTTACCTACTGATACTACTTCCTAAATTTACCTTTAATCCCTTATCACATCTTCATCCTATTCCCTAAACTCCCATCTTCTTTATTTGTTAATATTTGCAGTCCTTTAGTAAGGTTCTGACTAGTCTCCCTGTGTCCAGTGTTTCTCTCCAATCCACCTTCTTTTTATTGCGGCCAAGTTTTGTGCATGTATATGACAAGATCTGACTCTGTCACACAAATTGGAGTGCAGTGTCATGATCTTGGCTCTCTGCAACCTCCGCCTCCCACCCCAGCCTCCCAAGTAGCTGGGACTACAGGTGTGCACCACCACGCCAGACTAATTTTGGTTTTGTCATGTTGCTTAAGCTGGTCTTGAACTTCTGAGCTCAAGTGATCTGCCCAGCTTGGCCTCCCAAAGTGCTGGGATTACAGGCATGAGCCACCACACGTGGCCCAGATTTATCTTTCTAAAATGCAAAGCTGAAGCTGAGCTAAGTGGCTTACTCCTGTAATCCTAGCAACTTGGGAGGCTGAGGTGGGAGGATTGCTTGTGGCCAAGAGTTCAAGACCAGCCTGGGCAATATAGTGAGAACCCATCTGTTCAAAAAAAATAAATAAATAACTGTTCACTGCTTATAATCTCTCAATAGCTTTCAGTAGACACCCTCATGAACTGTCTCCTCTCTTTTTTCATTCTCTATTTTTTCATTCTAGCCTCATTCTTCAAAGGCACTCATACTTACCTGTACTAAGGTTCTTGCTACACAGTGTACTTAGCCCTCCTCTCACTGTGCAACAGTTTGTTTCAAACTCTGTTTAGGCATCCATTTTCTATCATAGCTGTCAGTTACTTATTTTTAGAGAATCTATCATAGTGGAGAGCATTTTGCTTTTAACATACCCATCTTTTCTCACCAAATTGAATTTTTCAAGGGCAGGGACCATCTGGATCCTACATCTTGGCATATAATAGATATTCAATAAAGGTTTGAATCGTTTATTAGTATGCCCTGTCAGATGCAGTAACATCCTCATTACTTCTAGGAATTCTGTTCCCTGTATCTGTAGTGAAAATTATTTCCCTAGTCTTCATCATATAGACTTTGAAGCGCAGGCTTTTGACCACAGAAATCTTAAACTATAATTTTCTTTAAAAAACCAGCTATTCAGAAGAGAATTGAAGAAAACTATGTACTTAGTTGATATTCAAATGTCATTTGCTTATAAGATAGCTAGTTTAAAGATTTTTATTCTGAAAGGAAATTGTGTGGATTAATTAAATGTATGACTCAATATGATGTAGAAAGTCTTTACCATACTAAAAACATTGCATTTCCATTGAGTAAGGATTTGTTGATTGGTTGTAGAAAGCTTGCAAAAGCAATATTATTGTCTTAATAACTAATTTACTGTTTTAGAAAATACATTTATTAGAACACATTCCTATAATCACCAACTTGTGTTATTTAGTGAATTTAGCAAATTTAACCCCTATCAAATGAAAACAACAAAAAAATCAAGTAATCGAGTTAGTAAAGAATAGTGTCCTACCTCCCTTCCTTATGTGCCTTAATAGAGTTGTGTATGATTAGATGTCCCTGTGACTTGTAAGTAACCACTCTCAGCCTGACCAACAGTACTTTTACCTCAGACTTTAACTAGAAGGTGAAAAAAGAAAAATAGGGGTTGCAGGGCTTTTGGAAGATAACCCAAGCTTATAGCACCAGCCTCACTGAAAGTCAGTGGTTGAGGATGGGGAAAGAGGGAATGAATAAGGCCTATTCCCAATTCAGAGTTCATTATCCTGGTACAGTGCTTTGCCAGATTGTTAATAATTATTAAATGAATCCATATATAATGGCAGTTAAACAAGAAGTAATGGCACCACTTCATATTTTAGGGAGTGGCACAAAATATATCACTTTCTTTTAAGTGAGATTCTTTAATAAGAAAAGTTATATAGGAGGTTTCCAGAAATAAAACTGGGAAAGAGCCAGATTACCTACAGGGAAGGTACCTCCCTTTCACACAACTCTCTAAAGGTTGAAATGGATATAGGGAGTCATCCAACCTCTTATTAACCTTAAGAGCCATTTTGCCGTGGACTCATCTGTTTTTCTAATTTTTCTCCTCTCCATATTTACCCTTCCTTTCTTCAAATTTATAATTTTAAAATTAATTTACTTAATATTAAATATTACCAATTAAAATTTTCTTTATGACCTTGAACTGCTTTAGAAAAGAAATATGTGTAGTGAAATGAAAGAGATGAGTTTTATTTGGGCTGTTAAAAAAAAAAGCTTGATAAATGCTGCTTCCAAGATAATTTTTACTCAGAACTTGGAAATTTTTGAATTATGATGCTTCCATATATATAGATCATTTCATGCTTGTTCATACTATAAAGAATTCTGTAATGATATTTTAAGTAAGTATTTTTTATTAGTTTTTGTTCTTTGTAATTTTAAAAATCTCTGTATCTTTAGTGCCTTACTTGATCTAAGTAAGAGATATTTGTGGTTTCAGCAACTTTATTTTCCATAGACTTTTAAGTATAGTAGAGATTATAGTGAATGTATGTTTTCCCAGTAAGTTCTTTACCTATTCCCAGATTATTCTGGGCTTTAGATGGGTAAAATATGTTTACATGGGTTTTTAATGTGGTTTTAAGTGGGTAAAAATATTAACTTCGTAAGGGTCAAATATAAGATACTTGTATTTTAGCAGAGCATAGTTTATTCTCATTATTCACATCTTCCATGAAGGTGCTAGCAACACTAAGTTAGCAAATACTGTACTGAACCATTGCTCTTAGGGAAAATACTGTGTCATGTTCCCACAACCCTCTGCTCACGACATTTTCATCAACTAATCAGTACATAACCATGTTTTAGATGTGTTTCTATTTAAAGACATCTTGCTTAATATATATTGTTAATGCATTAACATTGAACTGATGACCAACAGCACTGTAACTCATGACTTGGTGAAACTTATCTAACACACATATTTTCTCCACATCACAGCCTTCTTGCACCTAGGAACAGCTAGCATCTGGGAACACTTCAGCATGATGCTTATGGGACATTTTAAACAGTAAAAGCACCAACAAAGTGTGAAATGTGAAAAACATGGTGCTAAATAGACCACAAAAGGGACACTTGTGTATGTAGTATGAGAGCTGAAACAAGAAGGCAGTGTCACTTTGTTTAGCTTCAGATGGAAATGTGCCATGTCAGGTGACGCATGGTTTTGCACTGCCCTGTGTGTATCTATGAAAGACTAAGAATGTGCCACAGTATTGATTTGGGGGTTACAGATAAATTTTAGTGAGTAGGTGAATGCACATGTACAGAATCTTCAAATAATGAGGATTGACTATAATTGTTTTTAGAAACCTTATGACTGAATACTTAGAATATGCAAATTTGAAAGTTTCTCTTTCAGGTATGTGGAAATTGTTGATTAAGCAGAATCATCCTTGCAGTTTTCATGTTCTCTTGTCTAGTAAAATAAAAATGGCTGCTTTCATTTCATCATTTTCTTTTCTGCCCTGCAGGGAACAACCTATCTTCAGCACTCGAGCTCATGTCTTCCAGATTGACCCAAACACAAAGAAGAACTGGGTACCCACCAGCAAGCATGCAGTTACTGTGTCTTATTTCTATGACAGCACAAGAAATGTGTATAGGATAATCAGTTTAGATGGCTCAAAGGTAAGCTACATTTACTTTGAATGATTTGGCTGTTTTTGCTTTTTTCAGTATGGCATTTTAGTTTTATTCAGAGGATTTTATCTTCATTAATATAAAATGTTTCCTTTCGAGTTCTTAAAACTTTTAAGAAACAAAACTGATTATTAAGGTAGCAACATGCTTTGTCCACTAAATTACTTTGATTAACCACTTTATTATATTACATGCCAAAATATTCTACAAATTTGAGGTCATTCTGTTTATTTAATATTCATTGCATATCTGTTATGTGTCAGGCATTATGCCAGGTACTAGCAGTATAGTGGTGGACAGAATAGACATGGTCTAGAATTCTAGGAGCTCTAATTCTTTTCAAATATACTGCTCTAGACTAGTAGCAGATCAAAGTCCCTATGTCTTATGAAGTTTGTCAGTGTCAATACTAAAGCTGACATTTCTTCTCTGAAGAGAAAGTATAAGGACAAATCCTATTTTATTTTTAGGAGAGGCAGATAATGTAACAGGAGCAAGGACTGCCTGGGTTCAGATCTCAACTCCACCATCTACTGAGTGTTTTGTCTTTGGGCAGATTACTTCTCTGAGCCTCACTGTTCTCAACTCAGTATTGGTAGTTGTAAGGATTAAATGAGTTAATATCTGCAAAGCACTTAAATCAGTGCTTAGTGGATAGTGTGCTCTTCAGAAGGGTTGGCGGGGGGTTCCCTTTTTCTTTTTGAGACAGAGTGTTGCTCTGTCGCCCAGCGTGGAGTATAGTGGTGTGATCTTGGCTCACTGCGACCTCTGCCTCCCAGGTTCAAGCGATTTTCCTGCCTCAGCCTCCCCAGTAGCTGGGATTACAGGTATGCACCACCATGCCAGGATAATTTTTGTATTTTTAGTAGAGACAGGGTTTCACCATGTTGGCCAGGCTGGTCTTGAACTCCTGACATCGTGATCTGCCTGCCTCAGCCTCCCAAAGTGCTGGGATTACAGGTGTGAGCCACTGCGCCTGGACGGGGGATCCTTTTATCATCAATGAACTTCATAGAACTCACTTAGAGAAAGAAATTCCAAAGAAAAATCAGATTCTAAGATTCTAGATTTAAAGTGTGTAGAAAGATGAGGTCTTCAGTTTCTTAAAGCCATGAGGCCTTTCCACTTCCAGGAATTTTCGCAATTAAATGAAAGGGTTAAGTGCACACACTGTAGAGCCAGACTGTCTGGTTTGAATTTTTGTTTCTACCATCTGCTTTCCCTCTGTATTAGTCCATTCTCACACTTCTATGAAGAAATACCTGAGACTGGGTAATTTATAAAGGAAAGAGGTTTAATTGACTCACAGTTCCACATGGCTGGGGAGGCCTCAGGAAACTTGCAATCATGGCAGAAGGTACGTCTTCACAGGGCAGCAGGAGAGAGAATGAGAGCAAACAGGGGAAATGCCAGATGCTTATAAAACCATCAGATCTGGTGAGACTCACTATCACAAGAACAGCATGGGGGAAACTTCCCCCCATGATTCAATTACCGCCACCTGGTTCCACCCTTGACACATGGGGATTACAATTCAAGGTGAGATTTGGGTGGGGACACAGAGCCAAACCATATCACCATCTGATCTTGAGCAAACTATTTAGCTTCTGCATGCAGGGCTGGGCACTGAGGTTTGTGCCGGTAATTCTACCACTTTGGGAGGCTGAGGCAAGAGGATAACTTGAGACCAGGAGTTTGAGACCAGCCTGAGTAACACAGTGAGATCCCATCTCTACAAAAAAAAATAGAAAAAAAATTAGCCAGCCGTATTGGTGCTTGCCTGTAGTCCTAGCTACTCAGGGTATTGTGACTGGAGGACCCCTTGAGCTAAAGAAGTCAAAGCTGTAGTGAGCTATGATTACATCCAGAGTGAGACCTGTCTCTTAAGGGCGGGGAGGGGGGGAGCACAAAAAAACACAACTTCTGTATGCCTCAGTTTTCTCGTCTGTAAAAAGGAGTGAATAAAAATACGTACGTCATTACACCATAGCGTTGTTGTGAAGAGTAAATAAATTTAGGCAAAAACATAGTATGTATAGTAATCACAATACAAACACTCACTGCTATTGTTATTAATGCTAGTATCAGGCGATTATTGGCTAGTATTATGTAAGGAATAAAAGATAATTTAATTTAATGCTAAACTTTTTGTCTGATTTTTCTGTGTACTCATTCCTTATCTCCTTAACTAGGTTAACTAGATTATAAGACCCCAAGGGCTATTTGCACTTTGTGTCTTGTATATAAGTAACATGTATTTACTTGAATAATTGATTTTTTTCATTTTTGCTTGGAGGATTTAAAAGACTTGAGAAATAGAAATAGTTCGTTTCTGTAAAGCTTTATTTAGTGAAGAATAATTTTGTCATATTTTGTAACTGTCTGGTTTAGTGAAGTTTGACAGATACTAAATATTATAACCTGAGACTCTAGAGTGTTTCTTTTCCCTTATTTGAACCTTGAGTTCTCTGTAATCTGTTTTGTTTCTGGGTCCAAATGACAGATAACATGCCTCCCTTATTAGAAAGGAGGGTTAACAGAGATAACAGAAAAAGATAACAATCCTCCTTTATTAGAAAGGAGGGTTAAATATTGTATAGAAATAAAGATCAACTGAGTTGTGCAATGTCCAAGAAAAGAAACCATATGGAAGTGATTAAATAGATTTCATTTGCTAACTTAACCTTCACCAGATTAAAATACTTTGAGTTATTTTAAAGGAAGGAATTTTAGTGATTAACACATAATCCTCATGTGTTCTTCCCACTGAAGCAATATGAAATGTTGCTCTTGCATTTTTCCATTTCTGAATATACATTACTGATTGTAATTATTAGAATCATAAATGTCTTTTGAAAAGCTTTTTGTATTCTTTTAACAAAATCTATCTTCTGTAGCAGAGTTATATTTTCTGTCACATTTTCTAATTACTTTTCTAAACTGATGCTATTAACTGCTGCAGTTCCTACAGGAGTGGTTGTTTTTTAAGTCAGCAGTAGTGGTTTATTTGACTCAGCTAAACAAGTGTTTTCTCCATCTCACCCCCCACTTCTGCTCTTCCTGATTGAGTTGGAAACCCCTTAAGTGCCCTGCCTAGAAAACATGCACTTGTTCTCACTTAAACCCTCTGCTGTGCATATGAAGTTTGCTTTAAGGTTTTCTGATTATGCTACAGAGACCTCAGCATGGTCAAGGGCCAGGATCAGGGCACTCTGTGTGATCCGTACATAAGGTAGTAATGACACTGCATTTCTACCTCTTTTCCTTAAAAGGACTAGAACTCCAGGGTTGAGAGACATATTTATTTTAAAGAACTAAAATTTTTCTTTTAAATGCATTCTACTCAAAGAAGCTAAGAAATAAAGCTTTTTAAAAGTGTGGGATCATCTATCATTTTAAGGTTTTCTTCATTAAAGAACAAGTAATACAGAGACAAGGAAAGGGTCAGAATGGAGATTAAAAGAAAACTCGTCAAAGCAGAAAGAAGTTAATTTGAAATAGTTAAAATGAGGGGGCTTAGTGACCAACTAACAGCACATTGGTCAGTTTTCTTAGATACCTATAAAACCTGTTGTTGACTCACTTTTGAGTTATTAGGGTCACGTATTAAAATGCCCTTGTCTTTTAGAAAACACAGAGATCCCAGTTCAGACGTGCCCTCCTCAGGACCAGCAAATCTAAGGCAGTGCCTACCAGTCTTGACTTCTTGCCTTTCACTCTTTCACATCTTGGTCTTCACAGTACTTACTACTGTCTGAAATTATATTGGTCAGTTATTTATTTACTTGTGTGTTTACTGACTCCTCTTATTCCAGACTGTAATCTGTAATTACATTGCCCCTCTTGTTGTGTCTCGAATTTTTAGGGCCGTGTTTGGCATTTAAAAGGTACTCAATTAAAGTTTAATAAACGAATGATTCTTTACCATTTGTTAATAAATGATTTCCTATTTAGTCTTTCATTTGATGACTTCATTTGATGCCGCTCAAGTTAGAGCAGTTATTAGCCACATTTTACAGATCCCAAATGACATGCTAAGAAAAGCAGTTTTTGAACTGAAGGGTAAGGAAACTGTATAAGTATGAATATGTAAATTTTGTCTGAGGTAAATAGACTTAATTGAGGATAAGGGCTCTCATATAATTACAGTGGACATATCTTCTGTCTGAGAGAAAGGAAGGGGCCACTCTATTTTACTGTTTTTTAAATAGTAGGACAGGTGTCATGCATTCATTTTTATGACTTCTCCAATACCTGCATATCTCTTAAATATTTCCTTTTATACTGTTGTTCACATGGTAAGCAAATTTAGTTTTGTTTAGAAAATGCTCACATGGTAAGCAAATTTAGTTCAGAAAATGCTTGATGTTTCATTCCACATATAAGAGTTCAGTAGATGACTGCTTATGGATTTGTTAACATCTAGCTATTACTATTGGAATCACTTTCTAATCTTAAATTTGGAGTGCATTAGACTAAAAAAATGATTCCCCCTCACTTTTATGATATTAGCAGAGAGAATGAGTTAATATTTTATGATAGTTGAAATTTATTATGGTGATCACCAAAGTTAATATTTAGTAACATGCTAAAATACTAGTTTTCTAAGAAATTATGTGTGAAACAAAAATGATAGCAATTCTCAACATCACGAATCTACACCACTTTATGAGAAAAGCAATGAGTATGCAATTGACTCTTGACACTGTTTTGAATTATGCAGGTTCACTTATATGTGGATCGAAAAATAGAGTATTTGTAGGATGTGAAAACCAAGTATTAGAGGGCTGACCTCGTATATGCAGGTTCTGCAGTGCTGACTATGGGACTTCAGTATGCATGGGTTTTGGTATACACAGGGGTCCTGGAACCAGTCTCCCGAGTATAGCAAGGAATACCTCTATATTTAGAAGTTTGTTTTTTCCTTGAATAAAGGGAAAAAGTACTAAATGATTGCGAGTCTTTTCTGTATCATAATGTATTTCAGGTAAATCACCTTGAAGAAAACTCAGTTATGGATTTTAGAAAATCAGTGTCGGCCAAGCACGGTGGCTCGTGCCTGTAATCCCAGCACTTTGGGAGGCCGAGGTGGGTGGATCACGAGGTCAGGAGATCGAGACCATCCTGGCTAACATGGTGAAACCCTGTCTCTACCAAAAAAATACAAAAAAATTAGCCGGGCATGGTGGCGGACATCTGTAGTCCCAGCTACTCAGGAGGCTGAGGCAGGAGAATGGCGTGAACCTGGGAGTTGGAGCTTGCAGTGAGCCGAGATTGTGCCACTGCACTCCAGCCTGGGCGACAGAGCAAGACTCCATCTCAAAAAGAAGAAGAAGAAGAAGAAAATCAGTGTCATATTTTCTATGTATATTTTCATTTTTGAAAGATTCTTTAGAGGGTGGTACCCTACTTTTAAATAAACCACTATTAAGGCCTACTTTCTTCTAGTGATTATCATCCAAAATTAATAAATATTAATTCTAAACATTGAAAAGGAAAACACTGACCACATTAAAAACTCTGACATTTTTTGGATCATAGGTAAACTTATTTGAGTGTAAAATGTTGAAATTTTTGATAGAGTGTCATCATATTTATATTTTAGTTAACATATTTCCACACTATCACTTATAATGCCAGAAACTATTTCTGTAACTATCTTTATGTATTTAACATTGTGGCTTATTGATCATCCTAAGCTTTTATGTAACTGAATGGTCTTGTATTTAAATGCCTGTTTGCTGATTTTTTGCTGGTTACTCATACTTGCTTTATTTTTTAGGCAATAATAAATAGTACCATCACCCCAAACATGACATTTACTAAAACATCTCAGAAGTTTGGCCAGTGGGCTGATAGCCGGGCAAACACCGTTTATGGATTGGGATTCTCCTCTGAGCATCATCTTTCGAAAGTGAGTTAAATCATAAAATTTGAATGAAAATCTTCATCTTCAAGTCATATATCTTAAATATATAATACCAAATGGAGAGTATGAAATATAGGAGAAATTTATTTAATATTCTCAGAACAACAGTAGTGACTTCAGAGCAAGAAGCAAGAGATCATTAGATGCTACTGTCACTTGGAAAATGTATTGTACACATTAAAAACAGTCACCATTGGTTGAGAAGGATTTATGTGGTTAATTGTCTGTATGATAGGAATTAAAAGGTGGGGATTATCACTTCAGAATGGATTTTTGTTAGAGATTAGTACCCTCAATTGGAGATGGTCTGCAATGTAGGCAGTTACCAAGGTCTTTTGAATTGTGAAAACTCAAGTTGACAGTGATACAGATTTCAGCATTTTGATGTGACAGCAGGTACATACAGATTACTGTGTTTAGGGGAAATTGTGCTTTATCTGGATGTGGAATACTCCGAGCTCTGATGCAGTGCAGACTGAGATACTATAGACATCATGAGGACTTTTTAGATAATACTCACCAAGTGACCAGAAAGGCCAATAAAATGCAAAGCATCACCAGGCTGAATATTGGAAATAAGACAGTTCTGTCAATAAGCAAAAGGCAGGTAATGTTTATACCAGCAGCACCTTGGGTTCTTGTGGATGTTACACAGATATATAAGAAAAAACAATCTCAGTATACTAAGTGATCAAGGAGAAAAGTAAAACTCACTTTTCTCTTCAGATCTTGTGCCTGCCAGACCTAAAGATTTATTCTTAAAACCTCTGTTTGAAGCATTCAGTTAAAAGAATAACCATATATTTTAAATACTTTACATGTGATTTGGTATATGTAGGATATGATATAAAACTCAAGCTAGAGAGTTGAAATTTTTCAAGTGCAGAGAAATCAGGCTCTTATAGATATACACCATTTATATTTACATTAAACTTTAAGCTGTTTTGCTTTACAGACATTATTCTGTATTCAAATTCTTAAACTGGGTTCTTTTTAGAAATCTTACACTTGGTGGTATGAATATATATTGAATCTATTTTTTTTTCTTCTAATTATAAACATTTCTTAACACAGTTTTCAAGTGTTTTTATTATCTTTTGGATATGAATTATGGCTTAAATCTGAATTTTAAGACTATTTTAACTTTTGCCTTGGTGATTATAAATCATTTTCTATAGGATGATTAACACGAATATTAAAGCTGGGCACAGTGGCTCATGCCTTTAATCCCACCACTTTGAGAGGCCAAAGTGGGCAGATCACTTGAGGCCAGGAGTTCGAGACCAGCCTGGTCAACATGGCAAAACCTGGTTTCTACTAAAAATATAAAAAAATTAGCTGGGTATGGTGGCACATACCTGTGTAATCCCAGCTACTTGGGAGGCTGAGACACAAGAATCATTTGAACCCAGGGCAGTGAGCTGAGATTGCGCCACTTGCACTCCAGCTTGGGTGACAGAGCAAGACTGTCTCAAAAAACAACAACGAACAAATATTATCTTTTTGGTTTCTCTTGTACACATCTTATTCTTTAAATATATTTCTTGAACTGTGGTAAAGATAAGAGTTTTACATTCAAAGTATCTCAACATAACTAGGATACAGGTATCCAGTGAACATTGCTCTTCCATAAACAGTTTTGTTGAGAAATTTTATGTTTATTCTAATACTTTTGCCGTCATTCAGAACCTTTTTAGAACTTGGTGTTTTTTTTTTTTTGTTTTGTTTTTTTGTTTGTTTTTTTTTGTTTTGTTTTTTTTATTGCCTATTAAAGACTATAGCAAAAAAAAAATCTCTAAATATATCTACTTGCCGAATTTCTTGACAATACAAGAACTAAATCGTGGATTATTTTCTTAAATAAGCTTGGCTTAAATGCCTTAAATGCTTTTTGGGCTAAGTAATTTTTGTCTATAAATTAAGTTCTTCGTGACATCTTTCAAGTTACTGAGCAGCTAGCTAATGTAGTAAAGGAATAGTTTATTAACTTCTGTCAATTCTACTCTTTTCCCTTGTTTGAACTTTTCTCTGAGAATGGATTTTATTTTATTTTTTTTAGATTTTTTCTTCTTTAAAGTTAGCATATACTTTTGACCAGCCTTACTGGTGGTAAATCTCCTAGTATTTGAGAGTGGGTTGAATATTGAGAAATAGCTCTTAAGCTCTTGGAGCAATTTCGAGCTTATATACTCACAGAACTTGGCTCCAAGAGCTTAAGATCAGTCTTTTCAGAATGTTTTGATCCAAAGAAGAAAAAAAATCATAATTTATTTTTCAGGCTACCTTGTAGACTAATTTTGGTGTTTTGCAGACTGTAGGAGGCTCAAAGGAGTTTATGATATTTTATATAAACGAAGCAAGTACATAAATATTCTAGCTTGTTTTATCAGTTAAAAGCCATGAGTAAGTCAAAACATTATAACGGTTTGGAGAAGGCAATTCTAGACAAAGACATCTCAAAATAAGGGAAAGTAGCATCGTTGAAAAAAAAATGTATGGTCTCTTAAGATTGACTGGTATGAACAAAATTCCAGCTATGCTTGGATTGTTAGAGTGCTTACTAAGTTGTATTTTGTTATCATGGAAACCTAAGCTGTCACTTTTTTCTTTTGCTGAAAACTAAGGATGTAAAACTTAGAAATGGTGTAGATTTTTATGAAGTTGCGAAGGGTTTTAAACATTAACTGTTGTGGAATGTTAAATTAGTGTAAGAAAAACCTTGTATACTATTTCAGATTACTTAAAGAGAAGTTTTGATTTGATTTCATTTCCACTAATGTGAGCGAGAGATCCTTGTAGCTTTGTATTCAGGTATTTTACTGTTTAGAGATACTCCGTTCAATTAGATGAGTATAGTAGCACAAATTCACTTTACTGAGCTACAGATTATAGGTAGAAATGACAAGGTTTAAGGTAAGAAGAAAAAGTTGTGATAATGACGACTTTAATTTTGACCCTCCTCCATCTCTCCAAGATTAGAGTATCACAAGCCTTTCCAAAATTTTTCTTCCCAGGATGGAAATGAAATCAGAGTTGATTTATGGGGATTTGAGAAAGGAACTATAATTTCATGTTTTAATTACCAACTCTAACAGATACTTTAAGTTGCATAGAGATTTGGGGTTTTTAAATGTAGTTATTATGTAGTCTTAACTTATTCTCACTGATAATAGTGATAGACTAGCTTCCACTTCCAAAACATAAATAGATATTCTTTGTGGCCAGGATGTTTTATAGTTTCCTATGAGTTCCTAAGAATTAGTGTTTCATGTACAATAATTTTTGTTTTGAAATTGTTATCCATCTTAAAGACCGTTGAGTATTATTCCTTTCTGCTGCTGTACATGAGCTGTTTAGGAATCGTCGGAAATTAATTTTTAGTTATGTCAGTTAGTGAAAATAGTAAATATTGCTATTTGTATTAGTTAAAATGTGTTGTGTATTATGAGAGTTTATATTTTAGTAGAATTTAAAAGCGTTTTCTAAATACTGTGATGTTTACAAGTGGATATTTGTGAAATTCAGTTTTCTCAATGATTAACATAGCACAGTATGCTTATGTTTACTGATTCTTTCCCCTACCTTAGTCTTAGTAAATTATTTCTGACCAACCAGGAGTCCTTTTGGTAAGCTAGCTGACTCTGAAGTCTAACTTAGATATATCATGATGTTTTGAATAAGATTTGTCAGAATACTTCATAGTGCACAAATGTTTGGAATTAGGTTTCATTTTCTGTCATTTTCATATTAGAAGCTATAATTGGTTTGGAGACTATATTGCTTGTGTAGAGTCAGTTATTCAGAAAATGAATAACTTTACTGAGGTAAAAGTGGGCGCTGTGACCTATTTTTATTTGGTTAATGTATGTAGTCTTTATACATTCAGTTTGCAGAGAAGTTTCAGGAATTTAAAGAAGCTGCTCGACTAGCAAAGGAAAAATCACAAGAGAAGATGGAACTTACCAGTACACCTTCACAGGTGGGTTTATCATTCCTATTCTTAATTATGAACATTGTTCATTTCAGATAGTATCCTTTATGCCAGAATCAAATATCCAAAGTACACATAGAAATGCACCCGTTAGTGTGGTGGCTCACACCTGTAATCTCAAGACTTTGAGAGGCTTAGGTGGGAGGATTACTTGAGCCCGGGAGTTCAAGACCAACCTGAGCAACATAGGGAGACCTCATTAAAATTAAATTAATTTTAAAAAATAAAAATAAAATTAGCCAAGTGTGATGGGGCAAGCCTATGGTCTCAGCTGCTTGGGAAGCTGAGGTAGGAGGATCACTTGACTGGGAGGTCGAGGCTGCAGTGAGCTATGATTGTGCCACTGTGCTCCAGCCTGGGCAACAGCAAGACCCTGTCTCAAAAAGAAAAAAAAAAGAGAGAGAGAGAGAGAGAGAAATGCATCCTTTACTTAATTTGTACTGGTGGAAAAAGGTTTTTCTATATGCCAATGCCTACAAGAATATTTTTATTTTTTATTTTTATTTTTTTTTTTTGAGACAGAGTCTTGCTCTGTCGCCCAGGCTGGGGTGCAGTGGCTGGATCTCAGCTCACTGCAAGCTCCGCCTCCCGGGTTTAGACCATTCTCCTGCCTCAGCCTCCCGAGTAGCTGGGACTACAGGCGCCCGCCACCTCGCCCGGCTAGTTTTTTGTATTTTTTAGTAGAGACGGGGTTTCACCGTGTTAGCCAGCATGGTCTCGATCTCCTGACCTCGTGATCCGCCCGTCTCGGCCTCCCAAAGTGCTGGGATTACAGGCTTGAGCCACCGCGCCCGGCCAAGAATATTTTTAATCAAAATTTCAGTTTAGTAATTCAATTCAAAGTATTTAATGTGCTTGTAACTTAGCAAAAGTACTTAAAGATCATGTGATAGTCAAATGTAACCACCAGGGGAGTCACAGGAAAAGTTCAGGAAAACAAGTATATTATACTTGCAGGTCCTAGAAACAGGGAAAGTCTTAAGGTGGTCAAGAGACAGAAAGCAGGAGTGAGGGGAAAGCCGAGGTAGAGCCTTTATTGGAATTTCTATGGGAAAGGCAAAGCAGAGAGGGGGAAATAGTTTAGGATTGGCTGGGTTGAATAATTTCAGGGGGCTCTAAACTATAGGGGTGGTCCCTCATTGTCTGGTAACTGGCCCTGGGATGGAGTAAGTTAGAGGAATATTGTCTACTGGGATGTATGGATCAGATAGAGGAGGTATGGCTCTGGATTGGCTAGTTTGCATATCAGAGACATGCTCTGGACCGGGCTCTTGCTGTCCTTAAGAATTAGCTAGCCCTAGAGGGGAGAAGCAGTCTCTTCTCAGTCAGAAACTTTTTTAAAAAGATGTCAGAATGTCATCATATACATAAAGTTAAAGTATGTGCACACTCATGCACACACGCACAAACAATAGGGTTTGTTTTACATACTTTTATTATTTATTTATTTATTTTGAGCTAGAGTCATGCTCTGTCACTCAGGCCGGAGTGCAGTGGCACAATCTCCAGTTGCTGCAACCTCTGCCTCCCAGGTTCAAGCGATTCTCATGCCTCAGCCTCCCAAGTAGCTGGGATTATAGGTGTGCGCCACCACACCCGGCTAATTTTTGCATTTTTAGTAGAGGTGGTGTTTTATCATGTTGGCCAGGCTGGTCTCCCTGGCCTCAAGTGATCCGCCTGCCTCGGCCTCCCAAAGTGCTGAGATTACAGGCGTGAGCCACTGCCCCAGCCTGTTTTACATACTTTTAAAGTATACTTAAATCTGAAGTTGGAACATCTTTATGCTTAGCACTGAGACAATGGTTATAGGTTTTACAAAAGTATTACTTTTTCTTTGAACAAAGGACCTTTTACTTGTCCATCATAATCTTCCTTCAGTTGGAAGTTATATCTCCAAGTAAAGTTGATTAAATAGTTACATTTTGGTACTTTTTTTGTTGTTGTTGTTTTTGTTTTGAGACGGAGTCTCGCTCTGTCGCCCAGGCTGGAGTGCAGTGGCGCAATCTCGGCTCACTGCAAGCTCCGCCTCCCGGGTTCACGCCATTCTCCTGCCTCAGCCTCCCGAGTAGCTGGGACTACAGGCGCCCGCCCCTGCGCCTGGCTAATTTTTTCTATTTTTAGTAGAGACGGGGTTTCACCATGGTCTCGATCTCCTGACCTTGTGATCCGCCCACCTCGGCCTCCCAAAGTGCTGGGATTACAGGCGTGAGCCACCACGCCCGGCCACATTTTGGTACTTTTATAATACAAGGGTTTTACTGTCTGATTAATATAGAATGCCACTATTTTCAGCTTTTTAATAGTAGGCTTTTCTAAAATTAATTTTAATTTTAATTGTTTCCTACAAGTAGGATTCAGCTCTTGGCTGTTCTCTGTAGTAATTGTTTCTGAACTGTACTCAGTAGCTTTTATGGAAAGGAAGAATCAGATGTTACAAATGTTTCTCTGGAATGTCAGTAGTAGCAGATTTACATGGAACTTTCTTGAAGTAAGTAGGAATTGCCTTGGAATTTAATAACTAACCAATGATTAGAACAGTTTAGAAAATTATTTTTTATTTATCTCCCTTTCCACTTCTATCACCCAGCTCTACTTGGAAAACTCTACCGGTATAGAGAGTTGAATTTTTTTTTTAAATAAGAATAAAGGAGAGCACTGTTAAATATGCTTAAAGTACATATTCCCTCATAGACTAAAGGTGTACCCTGGATTGAAGCCAAAGCTCCATTATGCGTCTGTACATGCAGTGACCTGGAATAACTTTGATGATCATTTGAAACTTCTCTTGTATCTGTCTTCTCTAAGTGCTGTGAAAGTGTAGTGATACTTTTAAACATAAAGCCCCATTTAAAATTAAATGCCAGTACATGTTGGGAGCTCTAGTTCCTCTAGTGAATGGTTCCAGTGTTATGAGAAGATGCATCAAACAACACATTCAGTAAAAGAGTACTCAAAGGATTTTAATAAAATTGCAATGGATTAAGCTTTGCCATTGTAATTAGTTTCTGTTTCTCTAATCGTAACTTCCATTTTAGTTGAACTGGTCATGAACCATTATAAGTTGCTGCTAATACCTGTTCCTCTTTGGTGGAAGGAATGACTTTAAGCCTCTGCTTTGATTAAAGGAATATATAAAAGATGCTTATATTTGAAAAATACTATGAAATATAAAGAATAAGGAAATATCTTAAATTCATCACTATTTGAGAGCCAAAATATATGGACCTTAATTTATCTTATCAAAACATTTGAAGCCTAATTGTCAATTTAATATACAGAAGCCAGAGAGAATCATTTTTTAAAAAACATTTATCAGTTCAGCCAGGCGTGGTATGCACCTATAGTCCCAGCTACTCAGGAGCTAAGGTGGGAGGATTGCTTGAGCCCAGTGGTTTGAGGCTGCGGTGAGTTATTACAATCACGTCACTGCACTGCAGCCTGGGTGATAATATCTAATGTGTCTGTTCTAGTTTGAATTGTATGACCATTGGCCATGCCTACCCTACTTGATTCTCAGTGGTTTAACCCAGTCTCCTAAATTAATGCTGCCTGAAGAATGTAACATTACTGTGGAATTTAACAAAAGAACGGTTAAGTGGGATAATTAATAATAGGTTAGGCCGGGCGCGGTGGCTCACGCCTGTAATCCCAGCACTTTGGGAGGCCGAGGCGGGCGGATCACAAGGTCAGGAGATCGAGACCACGGTGAAACCCCGTCTCTACTAAAAATACAAAAAAAATGAGCCGGGCGCAGTGGCGGGCGCCTGTAGTCCCAGCTACTCGGGAGGCTGGGGCAGGAGAATGGCGTGAACCCAGGAGGCGGAGCTTGCAGTGAGCCAGGATTGCGCCACTGCACTCCAGCTTGGGCGACAGAGCAAGACTCCGTCTCAAAAAAAAAAAAAAATAATAGGTTAAAGAGGAAAATCGATAGTAGTAGAAACTTGGTTGGTCATAGCTTTCGTTTTTATTTGAGGGAGGTGTAAGAGACTGGTTAAAAGTTTGAGTCAGACAGACCTAGATATAAATTACTTTTCTGTTGCCATGTAATACACTTGGTTGTTTAATTCTAGTGTGTTTATATGTTTGTAACGTGAGTATTACATTACTTATAGAATCATTGATCATCATCAATAAATATGGTAACGACACAGTGTCAGGTCATGGTTAGTAATGGGAGTTCTAGAATCTGAATTTGAAATTGGGCTCCAACCCTTAATAGTTTTCTGAGCTTAGGCAAGTCACTGTTTTTCTTCCTCTATAAAATGAGAATGAGAACAATATGTTCTTATTAGGAATATTGTGAGAATTAAATGAGGATTACAAAGTACTTAGCATATAGTAGATAATAGATAAATATTAACAACTGATGTGGTTGTAATGGGGAGGATGATGATGTAAGGCCTTAACATCGTGTCTGGCACTAACAGTTGTCTTTAAAAATTCAGATGTCTTAAGTGTATATTTATACAATATGTATTTGAAAAATACTTTGCATCAGAATTCTGCATCAGAATTCCCTGAAAGACTTGCTAAAACTCAGATTGGTGAGCTCCACTCCCAGACTTTCTGATTTAGTAGGTCTAAGATGGTACCCAAGTATTTACATTTCTAACAAGTTTCTAGGAGATGCCGAAGCTATTCCTATGTTAGATATTATATTGTAGAATATTATATATGCCTAATTCAGTTGTGAGTTTTATTTTAATTTTTTAGCCATTTACATTTTAGTCATTTCAAAGTATTTAGCCTGGTTTTCATTAAAATAACCACTCTAGTTTTGCATTCAAAATCAGTAGTTTACATAGTACCTAATTCAGTTTTACAATTATATAAATATAATTGGCATAAACAGGTTTGGGACACATACAGCTGACTCTTGGTAAGCATTTTATGCAGCTAGTGGTTGCAAAATATTCAAGCAGAGTGACAGTTAATCCACTAACCCTAAGCATCAATCAACCAGTATACTTTACATAGCGAAGGAAGAGCATAAATTAATCCAGAAAGTCAGATTGTAAGAACTTCTGTGGTTGTCACAAAATGGATTTCAGAAATGGTAGCTCTGGATGGTGACCAACTAGAGGAAAAATGTATGACTGAGGATATGAGGATCTTGTTTGAGAGCTCAGCCTCATCTTCCTTTATGTATCCTTCTGCTGTCTTCTTTCTTTCCATTCTCACTGCCATGGGATCTCAACACTATTAGCTCCTCCCCCAGTTTTTCTGTCAGACCCTCTGCTCAGAAAACAGTGGTGGTTCTCATCTTTGTTTAAGTATAAAACCCTAGAATGGACTGAGTCTTCCGTGAATTTTTGTTAAATGGTAAAGAAAGGGCCCTGTTTTCCTTAGGCCAACAAGGTTGAAACTGTAATGGGAATTTAATTTCAGGTTTTATTGGCATGAAATGGAAGGTGGTAGTGATATTTGGTATAGTGGGTCATGGCAGTGCTGCTGCATACCTCCCCAGCCCACCCTTCCAATATGCAGTAGGTCGTTGATAACACTCTAAAGGCTTGTCCTAGAGTGAGGGTCAAGGTCAATTTTTTTTCTATGTGTCCCAGAATATTTCTCATTTTTTGGCTTTTGAGCCAAAATTTCATTTGTGGGTTTTATTTTAATTTTAAGTTACCCACTTCACAAATGGGTAGGAAGAGAGAATTCTTAAGAAGCATTTCCTGAATCTCACATCTGTGCTCAGGTGCCTTTTTTATAATAGGTTGCATCTGTTAGTTTTGGTTTCCTTGATATTCTCTCAGATTTGTACTTCTATGTTTTTTCTTTAGTGCTACTGTCCTTTTTCTTACTGTAGATTATTTGTTTCGGTGAGAGTTATAGGGAGAGTTTCTCAAACAAAATGAGATGTAAGTGGTTTTATTTTCTCAAAGCAAGGATATAAAGTCAATAGAAAGGATCATTTGATCTGTTTTTCTTTCATTTTATTTTTTGCTTTTTTTCATTTTTCTTATCAGCTTTGGGTATACACACACACAAGCACACACACACACACACACACACACACACACACACACACACATACCAAAAAAGAATAACTGAAGTAGGGTGTTTAGGAAATTACACAAAATTTAGATTAAAAAAGAAATAGATGCTTAGAATATGTTAAATACAAAATATGTTTCAAGTACTATTTTAAGCATATGCAAAATTTCTGGAAGGTTTTACAGAATACTTTTGGCTACCTCTGGGGTAGTTGGAGGGAAAGAGGATTTCATTTTCCTTTTGTGCCCTCATGTACTGTTGGAATTTTTTCTTGTTTCTCATCAGTAAATACTGATTTTATATTTTTAAAACTGACTTTTAAAAAACCCAAGTTCTCAATTGGTTCAGAATAAAAAATTAAATTAAAAAAATAAAATACCATGCTTTGGGTGGGCTTATTGTTTTTCATTTTAGGTATAATGACCTAGGATAACTATGCCTTTACTTAAATATAACTAATATTCAAGTTTTCTGAAGAAAAACTTGCTGCTTTGAGATGTTGGAATTGCTACAACCTCTATCCCTTTCTTTCTCCCCTTCTTAACTGGCCCCTGGGAATAGTCTTTCTACTTTAGTAGCGTTAACATTTGTAGCCTCCCCAAGTTCCATGCCCCAAACCCTGCTCCCTCTTATTTCACCCTCAAAGTGACAGGAGCATTTATCCCAGAAGATGGTAACAACCAGGAGTCAAACTGCTACTGCTCTTCCTCTCTCTCTTTTGATCCTAATGTATTTTTGCACACTCTTGTCAACCAGTTCCAGCAAATCCCTGAGTTAATCCTTAATTGCTAACCCTGGTTATGCCCTTTAAGTTTAATAGGTAATTTGCTTATTTTTATTTTTATTTTTTATTTTGAGATGGAGTCTTGCTCTATTGCCCAGGCTGGAGTGCAGTGGCATGATCTCGGCTCACTGCAACCTCCACCTCCTGGGTTCAAGCAATTCTCCCACCTCAGCCTCCCGAATAGCTGGGACTACAGGCACCTGCCATCATGCCCAGCTAATTTTGTTTGTATTTTTGTAGAGATTGGGTTTCATCATGTCAGCCAGGCTGGTCTTGAACTCCTGACCTCAGGTGATCTGCCTGCCTTGGCCTCCTAAAGTGCTGGGATTACAGGTGTGAGCCACTGTGCCCAGCCGGTAATTTGTTTCTGTTATCATTTCTACTGAACTGAATCTTCAGCAATTTAACTGTTTAGTAGGTTGCACATTCAACCTTTTATTATTTTAGTTTGGCTTGGCCTGTTTTGGAGAGTAATAAGCCTGATTTGTTAATACCAGAGATTATTATTTTATGGTTTCTTACTGGCTGGTTAAATTTTTTCTGACTAATTAATATGGTCCATAACTGACCTAGAAGTAGTCACTTTGTGATTGCTATTCCCATTATTCACTTAATAGGATTTGACTTTGTTGTAAAACATTTTTATATTGTCACATTATACTGTAGATTTTATTCGTGCATTGACTGTCAGCTAATGGAAACAAAGCAGATTTAGGAGAAAGATTTAATAAAAATGAAATTAAAGGTCAAAATAGAGGTTCTACTGAAAATTGAAAAATGGTTAAGTGATAATGTGGAATTAAGAAAGTATCCTTTTGATCTTTAACAGCTTGTATAGTTTATAGCATTATGGAACTATTAATTAAAATACTTAAATGTGAAATAAAATACATACAGCAGTATAAAACCAGAAGTCCCAAAAACGTAAGTCTCACCACATTAATATTTACATATTTTTTTCTAGCACTTCATGTGTAACATTCTAAATGTGAAGGATATAAATATCATAACCCAGTTACTGTTTTACATTCTGATTTTTAAAAATTATATGCATTTTGCTACATTGCTCATATTTGTCTTGTTTTTATTAGAGGAAATCTTGTATTTTTTTAAGTTGACAAATTATGATCATTCCTAACCACTGTCCTGTTGGACACTTATTTTTTCCCCCCAAATATAGACAGATATTTCAATTGTGACATTTTATTGCCCAGGGATCATAAGAGGTCCACCAAGCTGCTCTTTAACAGTCTGGTTTTAGCACCTCCCCTAGTTAATAGGTCTATCAAATGACTCCTCATTCTGATTTCCAATATCAAATTTGGTTAATCCGATGGTGGCAGACATAAGTGTCAGCTTGAGCTTCAATTTTAAATTCAATTTATTTAAAATGAAATAAATTTTAATGCTATTTAAATAAATTTACTTTGAAAGGCAAATCTTAATGAAAAGTAGAAATAAGACAGGAAATTTTGTGAAGAAAAGTAATTCCATTATGAGTACCAGACAAGGTAAGCTGAAATGCACTAACATCATTATAGATAATAGGTTATAGAGGCATTTCTTCTTGCTTTTCTAAGTAGCTCTCTAGGGATTGAAAAGTAGGGCAGATAAAACATGCTGCAAATTTCATTCACCCCTTTCCTCATCCTCCCCCTCTCCTCATCCACTTCTTCTCCTGTACCCCTTCCATTATCTACTTCTTCCACCAGCATCACATCTTCTTGTGTTTTTGTGCATCTTTTCTTCTGAAGTATAGTAATTCTTTGAATATCTTTTATTCTGACCAATTAGTTATATAAACCAAACATTTTTCGGTTATTTGAAACTGTTTCTAAATTGCGTTATATTTCCATTTCTAAATTGTATGTTTCAGAGTTTTCTTGTGAGTAGCCCAGCTTCAAAAACTTTTTCTCATAGCTTGCCATGAATAAAAAATAAAAATTTCTATGTTTTATTTTTTAAGTCTTTGACTCAAATTTCAGTTGAAATTTGGTTCATCAGTTAGCATACATCAAAGGCAGTTTTAACCTCAAGATGATATTGTGTACTTTAACAAAAGTGTAACTATTCTTTATCCTCCACCCCTTTTTTTTAAAGGAATCCGCAGGTGGGGATCTTCAGTCTCCTTTAACACCAGAAAGTATCAACGGGACAGACGATGAAAGAACACCTGATGTGACACAGAACTCAGAGCCAAGGGCTGAACCAACTCAGAATGCATTGCCATTTTCACATAGGTACAGATTCAATTCAGCAATCATGATTAAGTAAATGTGTAAATATGGAAATGTTTGGTTTCAGGAACCTTTATAGTTACAAGCTTTGAGTGAAAATTCTAGGTTGACTTTGACTTTTTTTTTTTTTTTTTTTGGCTGCTTCTGTTAACCTCAGAAGTGAAATACACAAACTTTTTATTAACTTATAGTTTATAGTTGCATAGATGGACTGCAGTGAACATTTCCTTTATGTAGAAAAAGGAGCACTAGGCTAATTACAGTACAAATTGTTTTTCAGTGAAATAAAATCTTGTAAGTTGCTTCTACCTGTCTTTTAACATAGCCTCTAAAAGGCCTCCTTTATTAACCTGGTTTCTATTTTTGTGTATGTTCTTGAAGGTTGTAAGTTGGAATTTTTTTTTTTTAAGTAGGCTTTCCACTCTGAAATTAAGCTTTATCATAGTCTGAGGTGATCTTACCACATGATTTCACGGAAGGAAACAGTGGGATAACTTTTAGCATGGGTTAATGTTAATGGCAGATTTATCTTTGCACACCAACTAACAGGAGATAAGTCTTCACTTGCTTTTGAATTTTAAAAGAATCTGATAACTCTGAAAACATATAATTTATCCTAAATGTGTTCCAAACCAGTTACATTAATTATTGGCTATACTTGGTATATTTGGGATGTAAGGAGGTCTGTGCAATTGCAATCTTGCAAATGTAAAACAAATACCTATCAGTCGTCTGTTTTAAAGTTAATTTTTTATCCTTCTTTGGAAACTTTTCACTAGGTTAGTTTTAGTTAAAATTAGGAAAACAATTTTCCTTCATAGTACATTTCTTTTGGGGACCAATTAAAAAAAAATCCTTTGGCATATTAAGCAAAATTGAAGTGAAGTGAGATACTCTTCAACTCTCTTTCTCATGAGAATTTTTATTTTGATTGAAATTTGTTGAATATTAAGGGCATAGGATTAAATATAGTAGAGGCTAACATTGAGAGACCTCATTGTCAGGCTGAGGAAGAAGAAAAAATTAGTTAAGGTTTTTTAAGGAATGGCCAGGTGCAGTGGCACATGCCTGTAATCCCAGCACTTTGGGAAGCTGAGGTAGGAGGATCACTTGAGGCCAGGAGTTTGAGACCAGCCTGGGCAACATGGTGAGACCCCTGTGTCTACAAAAATGTAAAAACTTAGGCCAAGCATGGTGGTGCACACACCTTTTAGCTACTTGGGAGGCTGAGGCAGGAGGATCACTTGAGCCTGGGAATCCAAGGCTGCAGTGAGCTATGATTGTGCCACTGTACTGCAGCCTGGGTGACAAAGTAAGACCTTGTCTATAAAAAACAAAAAAAGTTTGTTTAGGAATGAACAGAGGAAAACTGACTATGAGGCTATTCTGATTTGTTGCTAACAGTGCTAATAATTTTACATAAAACAGATATATTGTGGAGTTATAGATTTATTGTTTTATTGTGGTATAACCATATTTTCTGTTTATAGTTATAAAGATGACTGAACACATGAAAAATTTTAGTGCTTTCGATCTGAATAATATGTTTACATTATATAGTCTTTTAAAATATGCAGTTACAAGTAAATAATCGTATTAGTATGCAATTTAAAAAAATATTTTACTGTGTTGAGGATAGGAAAAATTTTCTTGCTATTAAATTAGATTTAACATATCCATTTAATAAACAGACTTACAACTTCACCAAATATAATTATATTGATTTCTTTGGCTAACACTTAAATTGAGCCATCTGTGTTGAATACTGTAGCTTTTAGAAATAAGAAATTTTGTATTTAACATTTGTAAAAGCTATTTTTAGTTTACTTTATGCACCTAAAATTTTCCAATGTCTACAATTTTGTTAATCCTTGGTATTTGGAGTTACTACCTGGAATTGGTCTTCTCCATGATTTTTCTCTGTTCTCAAGAGTCTTTAATAAGAGTTGCTTTGACTTGAAGTACACAGCTGCTTTGACTACTGGAATTTATAGATGAGTCATGGAGATACTTGACGGAGTTCTGAATATAAAACTTAACAGGTCAATTTAAGTTTTTAATTATGTGAGAGGTATTACATAATCTTGTAGTTCTTGTTGAAAAACACTTCACAGGATTTTTTAAGACATTCTCTGAACTTGTTTTGGTTTTACATTAGTCAGTATTAATCAGTATTCAGCTAGTTAGTTGACTGAAAACAAAATTTCCACCTGAGGTATAGAACATTGAGTATTTTAAGTTAATGCTAGAATCCCAGAATATCAGAGCTAGAAGAGACCTCAGAGATGATATAATCCATGATTTTCTGAACTGTGGTAGTTTGATATCAGTTTAATAGGCCATTTGTGGCTTTCTGAAAAATGAAATATAATGAAACCAAAGAGAAAACATTAGAGTAAAACTCATATTGAGAGTAGAAACTGTTTCAGTAGTCTACGTATATGTGTGTGTGCTGATTATAGTGTAAAATGTCAAAGTTTGAAAGTGTGTGCCTTTGGCATGTGCAAGACTAAATCCCAGAGGTTGGATGAGTTACCTAAGTCACACAGTTCATTAGTAACAAATGTGAGTCTACAGCTCAGCTCTGATCCTGGTATGCACTGTCAATTACAGTTCATTAGGCAAATACCCAACACAAGCACATTGTTTTGTCAGGAAGTTAGTAACTGTTCCTGTCCTAGGAGACCTATATAGAAATAAGATCCATGTTTCATGATTAGAAACAGAATATTAAAATAAATTTTATTGAAATCTAAAACTCACAAGTTTTTAAACTGGGCACACTATTATTTTTTCCCATTGCAAAGGAACACAATTAACATTTTATTTATTTATTTATTTATTTATTTATTTATTTATTTAGAGACAGAGTCTCACTCTGTCGCCCAGGCTGGAGTGCAGTGGCTCAATCTCGGCTCACTGCAAGCTCCACCTTCCGGTTCACACCATTCTCCTGCCTCAGCCTCCCGAGTAAGTGGGACTACAGGCACCCGCCACCACGCCCGGCTAATTTTTTGTATTTTTAGTAGAGATGAGGTTTCACCCTGTTAGCCAGTATGGTCTCGATCTCCTGACCTCATGATCCACCCGCCTCAGCCTCCCAAAGTGCTATAAAATCTTAAGTTTTTAATGCTTAGACTATATTGTCTTCCTTCTCCAATATGTGTTTTAGCAGAAAATAATTAATAGCAAAAAATTTTTTTGCCAGTATTTCTCTGTTTTAGTTGATTCCATTTAACTGCTAAATAAGGAGCAAAATCACTAGAATGTCTACGTTCTAAAAAAAGATGGGGGATGTAGGAAACAGTGATCTAGTCAGTCAGATTAACTAAGAGTTGACTGTAGTAATAGCTACTTAGCAAGCCATTTGTTCTTTTCTTAAAATTCAAATTTTATGAGTAAACCTCATGAATTTGTTAATTAACATATCAAAAGCAGGTCCTGCTTTTCATTTAGCACTGAAAGTTTTACTAATGTGGTTAGTTTGTTCTTTAAGTCTTTCTTAAAAAGTTACTTAGCTTTAGAGAAATAAGCAAGATTTAAAACATTTTTAATATTTATAACTTTTTATTATAAAAATTTTCAAGCATACATCAGAGAGAAAATACTGTAATGAACTCCTATAAACATGTCACCTGCCTTCAACAGTTATGAAAAAATGGCCAGTCTTGTTTCATCTCTGCCCTCATCTACTCCTCCTCCACTGTGTTATTCTTAAAACAAATTCACAAATACTTTTCTAAAATTACTTTTAAACTTTTGAAAAACGTATTTACTAAGCTATTACAACTTTTTGTATTATACCTGATTCAGTGGCATTATAGATTACCTTGAATAATTTACTACTTTCTTTGATTTTTAGCTATGCAGCTGAACTAAATTTTAAATGTATGAGCTGCTCAATACTCCTTAGTCAAGTGCTATACTACTGTATTATATCCTTGTCATAAACTATGCAAAAACATTCTTATTGAATAAGCTTCAGTGAATTGATACTGTTTTAGTGTACTTATTTTTAAAGTTTAGAGATGTGTAAAAAAGGGAGATCATGAGGATGAAATGTTTACTGATTTTTTTGGGGGGAAATGTTATTAAATTTTATCTAAATTGCTGTTTATCTTTTTTTTAACCTAAATGATAATGTCTTTTGAGATTGAGCAGGTATACACTTGAAAATCCTTTGAAACCAATCTTAGATTAGTTGTATATCAAGAAAAGTAGCTATATACTAATAGACTGGCATATACGTAAGAGGGAAGGTTTTGTTCTCTTCCAGGGAGTTCTTGTTTGCTTCATAGCATCAACTGTCTGGAATTCTAGAATTTACTTGTTTTTTTGTTTGTTTTTTAAATAAATAATAATAGATTTTCTAAAAAAGATTTAAAGCCACTGAAAATTATCTTGGAAATAGTTGATTTTATAGTATTCCAGTGCTGTCACAATGTAATACTGAAAACTTAAAGTTTTCATTTTGTTCATTACAATTTTTTGATCCTCAAATATGGTACAATATTGATAAATAATTGTCATATTTTCAAGAGTTCAGAAAAGACATATACATTAGCAGTTTGTGAAGCTATTTTTGTACTGATAAATTTTAATAACAATTTGATTACCTTAATAGAAAATGGACTCTCTTAAACACTGATTATATTTAGATTCTTCTAATGTTTAGATAATGTGTTCTCATGGTGCTTCTAGAATTTATGTATTTTTGGGGATATTGCATGTACCTTCTATTCTGTTAAAGAGATTGTTTTCTGCCACATTATGTGTTTCCAACAGATAATCATTAAAGGATGTATGCAGAAATACTTCTTTCTAGCATATTAGTCTTGCTTTAAATCAGTAAAACTACAGTTTTATCACAATGTATGGCATCTGTATGGGTTTACTGCATGTGTATTTATCATCAGAGTTTTAGAAACACTTTACTTTAAAACTATGACTAGGAATTTTTGTGCAATTTCAAAAACTAAATTTCCCTGGAAATTTTACATAGC